CCGGACGGGTGAGGGAGAGGGGGGAGCCCGGGCGGGTGAGGGAAAGGGGTAGCGGAGGGGAAAGGAAACGGCCGTTCCACACATTCATACATACATATGTACAAACCCTCTCTTCCCCCTCTCCCCCTCCCCCACGCTAATCCTATCCCCCGCAGCCCTGCCCGTGCTACAGCAGCTGGCGGGGGGCCGTGCGGGCATTGAACGGGTGGTGGTGGTGGACACGTCGCAGCCCATGCTGGACAGGGTGCAGGTGTGTGTGGGGGGGGGGGGGTAGGGGCGGCTTCACTCATCTCTTTCCATTTGTTTCCTAGTCCTAATATTTATGCCAGCCAGATCTCTTGTTTCCTGGTGTGGGGGAGTCTTTCCAGTTCACTCGCAGGCACCCACGCACGCACGCCATCCCCTATTTATCTGTCCTCTTGAATCCTCCAAACCCTACATCACCCTCCCCTCCCCCGCCCTTCCCCCCTCTTCCCAGCGTGAGGCTGCCGCCTCTCACTCCCTCCCTGGCGCCAGGCCCTGGCCCCGGCTGCTGTGTGTGCGGGGTGATGAGGAGCACCTGCCGCTGCGACCCAACAGCGTGGACCGTGAGTTGTGTGTGTGTGCGTGTGTGTTTGGGGGGGGGAAGGGGAGGACCCGCCCGGAACGGGGGAAGTGCTCGGGCGGTGGTGGTGGGGGGGGGGAAAGAGATATGGGTACGGCGGACCATTGGTACCCCCCTACCCTGCAGTACACCTGTACTGCTACTGCGCTAACTTGAGGAGGGGAGGGAGGGGGTGTTGTGTGGACCTCGCGGTGATCCACAACGGCCCTCCCCACACACACCCTCCTTGCTGTAGGAGGCGGAGAAGGGGAGGGGGCCTGCAGCGGTCTATCTACGATGTTCTTTCCGTATATATATTGCCTCCCCTGCCCTCCCCTCCTCCATCCGCCCCCCGGGAGGAAGGAGATGTTGCTGTGGACGGGACGCTAGGTTGTGCTTTGACTTCTGCATCGCCATCATCACCATCATTATCAGCAATAGCACTTTTTTCCCACCCTGCCTTCCCCCCTCTCACTCCCCCTGGTGGGCGGCGGGCCCTTGTGTCCTCCTCCCCACCTCCCCACCTCACCACCACCACCACCACCACCTCAGTGATCATCAGCTGCCTGGGACTGCACTGGGCTAATGACCTCCCGGTGAGCCGTCGGTGCGCTGGCTAGAGGGGGGAGGGAGGGAAGGGGGGAGGGGAGGGGAGGGGGGAGGAAATGTATGATGCAACAGGGAATCAGAGAAACAAGTGCCGACACGCCAAAGACACACCCACCCCAGCCGGGTGGGGTTTTGCAGGTGGTGAGGGGGGTGAAAGGCTGGTTGGCTCACGTGCCGATTGACTGGTTGTGTTGTTGTTAATGTCGTTGTCGTTGTCGTTGTTGTTTTCTCGTCTCGTGCACCGCATTGGCGCACACTGAGCCACATGGAGCCACAGCGCACCACACGACACAGACGCTTCCGGGCGCCGGGGGGCGGGCCGCCTTAAGTTTGTGGCGGTGATTGCGATGTATGTAATCGCACTGTGGAACGCCCGGAAGGAAAGCAACGACACCTTTTACCTCACACTCACCTCACACGTGATGGGTGGTTGGGTGGGTTAGTACGGAACAGTTGGCGGCCCGCCAGTCCGGGGTCGGCGGCTACTCGTGCTAGCACATACATAAATACGCACGTACACATACAGCGCGTTTGATTGAGGCAGGGATGGAACCGGCTGGGAGAGGACCCTCCTGTTTGTTTGTCTGTCTGTCTATCTATCTGCTGTCCTGTCCGTCATCCACCCGTGTCCTTCTCTGCACATCACCACCACCACCACTACCGCCACCGCCACTACTGGGAACGGGATACACAACATTCCTTTATCATCACCATCATCATCATCATCATCATCACCATGGCAGCAGCACTCCCTGCACTACTATAGCACCAGTACGGCAGCAATAGCGGCCCCAACCGCTGACCGCCGTTTCCCCGCGGTTTTCCTCCCCTTCCCTCTCCCCCTACCCGCCGTCCCCCCCCCCACACACCCTTTTTCCCTAGGGCGCCATGGCCCAGTGCCGCATGGCTCTGGTTCCGGACGGCCTCTTTCTGTCCGCTCTGCTGGGGGGGGATACACTGCAGGTGGGCCTGAGGCCGTGCAGTGTATATATATGTGTCTGTATGTGTGTATGTATGTGTATATGTGTGTGTTAGGATGGACTGAGCCGCAAGGAGGACTTAGTAAAGCGCGTGTGTACGTATGTCCGTATTCCTGGTTTTACTTGGGCCCTGCCGGACAGACGACAGGTTTTGTGGAATACGGTGATGACGTCACGCCGTTGGCGTGATCCCCGCGACTGGTCCGGGGCGGGTTTTGTTGGGGGGGCAGCGCTGCGGGTGACGACTTCGCAATGTTGTTGTTCGCGTTTGCGTTCGTTCGTTCGGTCGGTCGGTCGACCTCGTCGATGAGAAAGTTGTTGCTTTTGAGCTTCCTTGCGGAACCCCCCTCTCTCTCTGGTCAGCCCTCCTGCAACTCTTTATAGATTGGACGTCAGGGCAGTTGGCCCTCATACATACATACATACATACATACATGTTTTCCCCCTCCCCCACATACCCGTAGGAGCTGCGTATCTCGTGCGCTCTGGCCCAGATGGAGCGCGAGGGCGGTGTGTCGGCGGCGGTGTCCCCCCTGGCCCAGGTGCGGGACGCGGGGAACCTGCTCACGAGGGCGGACCTGAGAATGCCGGCGGTGGACGTGGACCGCTTCAAGATCGGATACCCCTCCCCCCTGGAGCTCGTACAACATCTCAGGGTGGGTTGGGAGGGAGAAGGGAAGGTGGGGAGGGGAGGGGTATCCAATTCAAACCCAAAAATTCAAAAAAAAACTAAATCCGCTCACCACACGTTACGTAAGGGACGTCTTAGGCTATACCCCCATTGCATGTATATTCGTAGGTAGGTAGGTAGGTAGGTAGGTAGGTAGGTAGGTAGGTAGGTAGGTAGGTAGGTAGGTAGGTAGGTAGGTAGGTAGGTAGGTAGGCAGGTAGGTAGTTCGTATGAGGAGGTATGCCCGTGTGCATGTGTACCGATACGCCCTCAGGCCCTGGGAGAGAGCAACGCGGCGGTGAACCGGAGGAGGTCGCTGCCCAGGGACTCGGCGCTGGCGGTAAGTGGGGCGGGGAGAGGGGCAGGGGGAGAGGGAGGGAGAGGGAGAGGGGGGGGGAGGGAGAGGGGCAGGGGGAGGGGTAAGGGGGGTAAGGCGTGTCGGGTTGAGCCATGAAAACCCGCAGAGGGCCCTACATGGCGGCGTAAGGACTACCGGTTATGCTACAACCCCCTACACACATACATACATACATACACACATCATACAGTCCCCCCTCACCCGCACACATCCCGCACAGCCTCCGCGGAGACCAACTCTGAACTCTGAAGGCGACGGGCATCTGGGCCTTTCGTACAAACCGTACAAACCCATTTGGCTCCTTCCGACTCCCCCTCCTTCCGCCGGACCTCACCCACCCGGCGGATGTGCTTGGCATGTGAGGGGGCCGTTACGTCTGTTCCGGCGTTAACAGACTCATGTAACATTAGTCATGTTTGTAGCTATCTCCCTAACGCGATATCCTCCTTTACACAGCACTTACCGGTCTCCCGGTGCCCCCGGGGGGGGTTGATCTCCGGCCCCCTCGCCCAAATCCACCACCACCACCACACCCCCTCAGGCTGCTGCGGTGTACCAGTCAATGTTCGGGTCTCCGGAGGATGGTGGCGGCATCAGCGCCACCTTCGAGGTGCCGGGGCAGTGGAGGGAGGGGGAGGGCGAGGGGGGGATGCACCAGACGGGGGGAAACTAGGCGTTTCACTTATGTGCATGTGCATCTGTGTGTGGTGTGTGTATGTATGTATGTATGTATGTATGTATGTATGTATGTATGTATGTATGTATGTATGTATGTATGTATGTATGTATGTATGTATGTATGTATGTATGTATGTGTGTGTGCGTTGGAGAGAGAGGTGGGCGGGAATGCTTTGCTTTGCTCACTCAGAGGTCAAATCACCTCGCACATCTTGCACGGCTGTCTTTCCCTTCATAACCGGAGCTCCCTCCTGAAGCTCCTGAATAATTATTCCCGTCATCATTCTTTCTTCTCCCCCCCTCTCCAACCCACACACACCCACACCCACACACGCGCACACACCTACACACACACGCACACGCGCGCACACCCACACACGCATCTCCCCCCCCCCGACACACACCCACACACCCACACACGCACACGCGCACCCAGGTGATCTTCATGACGGGGTGGGCCCCCGCGGCCAACCAGCCCAAGGCCGCCAGGAGGGGCTCCGCCACCGTGTCATTCCAGGTGGGGAGGGGCCAGGGTAGGTAGGTAGGCGGGCCGGGGAGGAGGGAGGAGGACAGGGTGTAAGAGAGGTGTAGTAGGGACGCAATAGACAAGGTAGTGATTTGGGACTTCGTGGGCAGTCCGTGGGTGTGCGTACAGTGCTGTTGGATTCATACATACATACATACATACATACATACATACATACATACATACATACATACATACATACATACATACATACATACATACATACATACATACATACATACATACACTCAGCATGTGTTTGCAGACCCCCTGTCTCCCCGGGGATCCTCA